ATGGTCACTGCAGTTAATAATATACTTTAATGATGCTAGGATAGTAAATCTTAAAGATTCTCATTACAGAAAAAAAATTATAAATATGTCATGATGGATGTTAATTAAACTTATTGTGGTACTCATTTCATAATATATATTACATATAAATATATAATTGACATATACTATACAACATATATATCATGTTATATAATATATATTATATATTAAACCATTATATTGTACAACCAAAACTGAGATAATGTTATATATCAATTAATTTTCCCTAAAAATGCATTTAAAGCTATCTGTAGTGACTCTCTAAAACAGAGTAAAGCAAGGGAAGATAGGTTAAAAGCAGAACATTTTGTAATTGCATTAAATAATATAAATATATAAAAAATGAAATTTGATTAAGTGTCCAATAAAATACTTATTAAGATTATCGGAGTGCCTGGGTGTCTCAGTCGGTTAAGCATCTGACTTTGGCTCAGGTTATGATCTCACGTTTCATGAGTTCGAGCCCTTTATTGGTCTCTGTGCTGACAGCTCAGAGCCTGGAGCCTGCTTCGGATTCTGTCTTTCCCTCTCTCTCTGCCCCTCTCCTCCTGGTGCTCTGTCTCTCTCAAAAATGAATACATGTTAAAAAAAATTTAAATACTTATTAAGATTATAATGGGCACATAAAAATACTTAAAACATTTTAAAAAATGAGATGAGAATCACTAATTTAAACTACCTAAAACAATGAAAAGAAACTGCAATGGAACATCAAAGTATAGAACTGACTTGAGTCTCCCTACCATTACACTGATTTCTATCATCTGGCTTAATAAAAGGAACTTTATATGCATTGAGTAATAGATGTGTCCTTGTTGTTTATTACCTGTGAAATAGAGATGCATTTTAAACTGCCCGTGTTTTCACAGAGGAAAGCAAATTTCTTCTCCACTTTCCCAGAAAGGAAAAGTGTAAGAGGAACACTTTTAATTTTTCTCCCTCCTTCCTTTTTCCTTCCTTCACTGACTGGAGTCACTTACATGAGGGATGAGTTTAAAAGAAAAGTTGAATGTACTTTTTGTACTTTTGCAGAGCCATACCCTTCTGACACATGCATTTGTTTCTACTTTCTACACTACAGTTAAGCTCTTAAGAGCAGCCTCTATCCCTCTGGGGGCATCTGTTCTTATCCATTCAAATCTGATAAATTAATTTAGCCAACTCATTTGGTCACAGATCAAAATTCTCTCTGATAAACTTTATCCATAATAAAATTAACATTTTGTGCTCCATTTGTCAGTTCTCAAGGAATTACAAACTCAGAAGAAAGAGACAAATATGAATCTCATATATTGAACCTCTACCCCAAAATTCTTCTATTATTTATATATTCAATGTAGGGACATTAGGGAAGTCTATTTCTTTATAGAAGAATTCTGAATAGTTTTTAGGCAACTTCAAGCACAAAATTCATTAAATGGTGTGGGCTTATGAAGAAGATGATAGATCTATAAAAATGTGAGTTTAGTGTAAATGTCAAGAATAATAAGAATCATAGATACAAATAAGGAGAACAAGAAATGACAGTCATTTTCAACATAATTTTCAATACTAAGTTATCCAGTGTATTAAGAATTGACACATTAAGCTTATGCAGAATTGATCAAAATGTTCAAATCTGTATTACTGTAGGAGAAACACTACTAAGTTTTAAGTTAATTATTCAGTCATAACTGATTTATTTTAGTTTTTGCTTATAGTTCTTTTGGTTTAAGTGCTTCACTATGATCATCATGCTCAAAAATTTTTTTCCTTCCATGGGTTAAAAAATTCTGTGTGCCTGTGTGTGTGGTGTACATGTGAGCGTGTGCGCGCGCACGCGCGCGCGCGCACACACACACACACACACACACACACACACAAACAAGAATTTACAATTGACTCTTTAAGAGTTTTTCTGCGGTGGAGAAGGTCTTTCCCTGGAAAAGCATGCTTTCTAACCTTTAAATTTTTGAATAGAATATTCGTGAACTTCCTTGAGTGGCTTTAAGTTTAACTTTATACCACAGTAGAAGCAGAACTATAAGCAAAGTAATCATACCCACATAACAAACATTTCCTTCCTCATCATCCAAAAACTAGTGTTCCTCTTACCCCTAAAGAACAAAATTTTAGTATTTTCTCATACATATTTATTCACAAGAATGTTATGGATACCTATCTACAAAGTATCTATACATATATACACATGGTACTTTTTGTTCCACACTCTCATTTGCATGTACACATGTACACACTATACACACAGGGATACACTGCTCCTTTTTCCGTGGTAAGCATTAAATGCACAAACAACTATGAGGAAACTAATCAATTAAGTTCCAAGAGTTTGCATACAAGAATTTCCTTTTCAACTGAGCTTTTGTTAAGATAGTCCTTGGTCTACTGCTCTTTGTTCAATTAAACCTTCAAATTTCAAACATGTTAAAATTAAAATATGTTGTCTGGAATATTTCTCTATTTGCTCGCTGGGTGACCCACGACTTCACCAACTCTGTATACTCTGAGCTCATAGATAGATGGATACATAGATAGATAATAGATATGTAGACAGAGGTAGGTAGATATTGAATACTGAAATATTTGTATTGATATTTATATATTGATATTTATACTGAATATTGAGTATTTATATATTTAATATATATTTATAAATAAATGTCAATATATATTCAATATATAAATATATTGAAATATATTCAATATTCAGATAGATATGTAGACATAGGTAGGTAGATACTGAATACTGAATATATTTCAATATATATTTCAATATATATTTTCAATATTCAGTATCTACGTATCTATTTGTCTACCTAACTACCTACCTATTGAACTATTTATCTTGCTGCCTGCTGGATGTCTCCAACATATCTAAAATTGAATATCTGAAGTCAACATGCCTAAAACTGAATTTGGATCTTTGCTTACACACATGCTAACCTTATTTATGTTCCCTATCTCACAAAGGGCATCTCCACACAAACCAGAGATCTTGCTTTCATCCTAGTTACTTTTCTCTCTGTACTTCATCCTTCGCTTCATATCTAATTAGTCATATTCTGTTTGTCAATAGATCATCAGTTCTCACCAGATTTTAACAGCAGTTTCTTGATTTATTTCCAATATGTTCTTCCTGGAACCTCTACCAATCTACCCTCCATTTCAGTGTCAAAACCATCTTTATAACATGGAAATATGATCATGTCGATCCTCACAGAGTTATGGGGATCATCCCACTTCTGACATCACTATGATATGGAAAAATAATTTAGTAACTTAAGGGCATGAACACTCTTATCCTCTTATCTAGAGCTCTTCAAATTATACCATAAAGTGATACTGTAAAAGAAGAGTAGACTGATCAGTATGAAAGGCATTCCTCTAATGCATGTTTTGGTTTAAGGATGAAAACTAGTTGCTGCTTTTGCTGTTTAGTGGAAGGAAATAATTGAGGCCCTCTTGAGTCAGCAATTGTGCAATACTGTCCTATTTCAGGCTCTGATTTCTACAACTTGATATAATGCTATAGTTTGCAAATCTTTACTTCACCAATAAAGTGCCAATCTATTTAACTTCACATAGCTGATTCATTTCAACATAATTCCTGAGCAAGGTGGCCTAGATCTCTTGCATGTAACATCCTCTCTCTTCATATCAGAGCTCAGCATGTAGGAGGCAAATGTGCTGAGGGGCAGTCCTCCAACAACTGCTCTTCCAACATGAAGCTGTTATCAGCAACAGAACCAAGCAGAGGAAGCAAGTTTTCAAGATCACACCAGCATCCTAGTCCCTAGTCAGGCCTCTGTGGTTTTAAAAACTACAAATTCTGCCAACAGCAAAGATTACATATCCTGTTTTTCTTTTTTACTATGACCTTCTAGTTTATTCCCCAAATCCAATATCTGTCAGTTCCTTATTCCCAATGATCACCAAAGGTGAAAGTCAAACATTCTCTGCTTTACCAAATGATATGTAGATTCCCATCTAAGTCACACCCTATTCCTTTGACCTTCAACCTCAACTGTTCCTTTTCTCATCTTTTCCCAATCTTGTCAATTCATTTTTCTACACCATCAAACACATTCCTATATTCTTCTTTTTATAGACACTTGGCTTTACCTTTGATGTGATCATTTTCTTAATAACCCCTCACTAAACAATTCCTAGGGAGTTGCAAATCTTTTTCAAAAAATCTTTCAAATTCTATACTACTATTCGAAATCATCTGAGCCTCTTATTTTGTCCATCATTTGTCTTACAGTTTCAGTTGTCATCCTATTGCACTCAAGACCCAATCACATGTCATGCTATCAATAACTTGCTAGATTCCCAGATATATATTTACTTGACTATTTTAATATACAAATTTTTATTTATTTAAAAAAAATTTTTTTAACGTTTATTTATTTTTGAGACAGAGAGAGAGCATGAACGGGGGAGGGTCAGAGAGAGGGAGACACAGAATCTGAAACAGGCTCTAGGCTCAGAGCTGTCAGCACACACCCCGACACGGGGCTCCAACTCACAGACCGCGAGATCATGACCTGAGCTGAAGTCGGCTGCCCAACCGACTGAGCCACCCAGGCGTCCCAATACACAAATTTTTAATGTCTATATGTGTTCCATTTTTTTCTAAAATAAATTGAACTTACAGTGTTATCAGGATTTTCTTTAATAACAGTATGTGTAACAGGTAATCTACATCTTTTTTTTAATTCAGTCTAATGCCTTACTTCATTTCTATCATCTCGTTACTGATAATCATGTTTAATCTCTAAGCCTACAGCTCATTCTGTCCCTATCATTCACCTTCTACTTAGGTGAGACCTGATTTAGGTAGTGATCGGTTACAAGTGGACTCAGTCGTATGTCAGGAATGAGATAAAGGCCTAAGAATTGAATTGCAGGGACAGGGCATAGATCAAAGTTTAGGTCAGGACTAGCTTGAAGCTTACGCATTTGATGGAGATCACATAAGGAGTTTATATCAGAGAGGAGCTGAGGCTCAGTGATGAAAAAATTCTGGAAGACAAATCTGAAAAAAATTATAAACTATGAAAGTTTATTGTTTGTTTCTGATCATGAAATGCCCCGAATCTTAAAATGGTCTCCTCAATCTTTTGTACTTTAGATATTTCCCATTATCTTATACCATGCTAACATTTCTACCTCCTTGGTCTTGAACATAATTCTACTGACCATTTTCTCCAACTTGACTTTCAAGCTCCAACTTGACTCTCAAGCTTGACTTTCAAGACTGTCATGAATCTAAAATTGACTATGTTTATGATATACCTATCTATCCTGACCCATTTCAGCAGAACCTATAGCTCATAAAACCCGTGATTTGACTTCATATGAATCCTTCTTGTCACCCTGTCAATATCCTAGTATTTCTAATGTTTCAGTGCTTTCCAATCTCCTCAAGCCCCAAAGGCATGCTCTTCCTTCCTTTTGTACTACAATCAGAATCACCTCTTTATTGAGATCAGAGTTGGCTTCTGATCAGAGTTCCTTCAACTTTACTCTCTCTACTCCAGAATTTCTTTTTAACTCATCTAGATCTTCTTCTCTGTTACCTCAGGCAAGAGATAGTCTCACCCTTTCCAATATTACACCTTTACTTGCACACTTAGCACCAATTCCAGAACCTTGCTCAATTGACCTTCATCTTCAATAACATTTCCACTGACTTTTTAAAACAATGTGTATTTATTTATTTTGAGGGACAGGGAGTGAGACAGAGGACAAGTGGGGGAGGAGCAGAGAGAGAGGGAGAGAGAATTCCAAGCAGGCTCCATGCTGTCAGCACAGAGCCCGACGCTGGGCTCTATCTCACTAACTGTGAGATCATGACCTGAGCTGAAACAAGAGTCAGATGCTTAACTGACTGGGCCACCCAGGTGCCCCTCCACTGACTTCTTTTTGATTAACCAACATAAAAGTACCTAAAAGTACTAAAAAAACAGATATGTGTGTATATGAATGATTAGACAAATGAATAAATGAATCAATGAGTATGTTTACTGTCCCTTGATGACCATTTCTTTATGGGCTAGGGATATTTTATGACCACCATAAAAGTGTGTCCTATTCCCAGCTAGTTGACGTCCTTTCAGTGGAAATTCCAGCTCCAGCACTACAACTGTTGAATGTGGGCATCAGTCAGCACCGAGTGAATGGTTTTTTGGTCCCAAACTTTACTCCTTGCTCATGTTTCTGAGCTAGATACTGGGGTCCAACACTAAACTGTAGGCAGTGAGGGCTGACTTGGTGGGGACATTGTCTCCACTCTAGAAGTTTGAGGGTAGGGTTATGGAGATCTCTGAAGCCTAAGCAATGGCCAGGATAAGCCATGTTCAATTTCTGGGCTGAGGTTTTATCACAGCCTTTTGCAATTTTCACATGAATTGGGGCTAGGGTTGATGAATTATTATTTTTTTTAAACGTTTATTTATTTTTGAGACAGAGAGAGACAGAGCATGAACGGGGGAGGGTCAGAGAGAGAGGGGGACACAGAATCTGAAACAGGCTCCAGGCTCTGAGCCGTCAGCACAGAGCCCGACGCGGGACTCGAACTCACGGACCGTGAGATCATGACCTGAGCCGAAGTCGGACGCCCAACCGACTGAGCCACCCAGGCGCCCCATGAATTATTTTTTTAAACAATCTATGATTTATGCAATTATATTAAGGTACCTTGAGGTTTTTCTCTACATTGTGTCAAAGGCATCATAATTATCAATAGTTTTGCTTAAGTAGAAACATACAGATTGTAAAAAAGGAAAAGAATCTAAAAACAGTAAAGAAAATCAAGAATTTGAGGAATGTTTCATATCTATGCAGAATCCATTTTACAATTCAAATATTATCAAGAATAGGCCATTGTGTTTTACATGCATTTAATTTAAGCACTCATAAAATGCTGAAATTCTCTATGATACTGATTTATATTCTGACACTGGAAATAAAACAACATTATTTTTCTTTCTTTTGCAAAGAGCAAAGGGTTTCAGAATCAAGTTTGTCTTCAAGCAGCAGCAAAGTCTTGCTGACAAGATATTTTGGAACAACTTGCTATTAGGAAGGAAGTCTGAGTAGGAGGATGAGAAATAGCTTATGCCCATATGACACATACAAGTTGTGAACGTGTTAGAAGTCCATGATGTAGAACATAAGAGGATGTAACAATTTATCTCAGTGACATAAAGGACCTTATTCTATTCTTTTGTTTTTATAGCTCTATTCCGAATTAGATTTTCTTTCTCTTCTGTTTTCATTTACCTGATGGTTATAAACATTACAATTTATAACATGATGAGAAAATGGAGAACTTTTCAAAATATCTTGAACAAACTGCATGGATTTTCATGTTGAAGTCATCTAACCTTGTTACTCTAGGTACATGGCAAAAATATTGTTGCATGGGAAATATCAGTAAATTCTACCCTCTTTTATCTAATGACTTACACTTTTACAGTGACTTTATCTAAAACTGTCACAAGGGCTTTGTATGTAAACTTCTCTGCATCTCATAGAAATCAGTAGCAAAAAACTTCACAAAAAGCAAAAACCCAAAAACTCCTACTGTCAAAATTATTATCCTAGAACACAAGATAATCAAATGATTCTTTTCTTTTTTTTTATTTTACACAGCAAGCAAGACAGTGAAAGAGACAGCGAGCAGGGGAGAGGAGCAGAGGGAGAGAGAGATGATCTTAAGCAGACTCCATGCCCAGTGTGGAGCCTGATGTGGGGATCGATCACATGACCCTGGGATCATGATCTGAGCCAAAATGAAGAGTCAGACACTTCATTGACTGAACCACCCAAGGACCCCTCAAATGATTCTTTTCTAACATTATTGAATTTGCCCAATAATGAATTCAACAATTATTGAGCTTCTATAAATTCAAAATTCTAACAGGTCCTTGAGGAATCCACAGATGAATAGGCCAGAAGCCTCCATGATCTCATTTTTAGCTCCACTATATCCCCTAAATTTACACTTATCTATATCTTCTAGTAGATGGGCTCTCCCCTTTAAACCCTCATAATATTCTGAATTTCTTTATGGAACAAAGTTTTGTCATTCCTATATCAAAGTCATATATTCCCTTATACAAATCATGTGAGTAGCTTGTAAGACTGAGTTCTTTGAGGGTAAGAACACCACCTTATATACCTTTGTATCTGCTAAAATACATGCCTTAGTACCTTATCCTTTGTAATGAAATCTTTTATACCCATCTCACAAGGCAGTTTAGAGGGAATGCCAGATGAATGGCCCAAACAGTGAAGAGTTATGGGGAAAAAGAAGAGGCGAAGGCAACTTCCAACTTCAGGCCACTTAGAAATGTTTAGGGAGAGGCAGCCTTTGAATTAAAGACCAACTGACACCCTTTGATTAGTAACATTAAAATGTATAATTCTCTAAGTTTTTAAGTTTAAATTACTAAATTAGGGGCGCCTGGGTGGCTCAGTCGATTAAGTGTCTGACTTTGGCTCACGTCATGATCTTGTGGTTCGTGGGTTCGAGTCCCATGTTGGGCTCTGTGCTGACAGAGAGCCTGGAGCCTGCTTTGGATTCTGTGTCTCCCTCTCTCTCTGCCTCTCCCCCACTCACACATTGTCTCTCTTTCAAAAATAAATAAACATTACAAAATTAAAAAAAAAATACTAAATTCTCCAAAGGGAAAAAAAGGGACATTCACAATATTTGTTTTATTTATTTATATGAATTAGAAGATTAGTGCATATTTGTTTCAATTATGTATCATATAATCACATGTTTATTCCATCCCAAAACTTAACAGTATAAAACAACAACAATTTTATTGTATTCATGATTTGGTCAGTCATGATCCAAGGAGGGCATAGCAAAGATGGCTCATCTTTTCTACGTGATATCTGTGTCTCAACTGGGGTGTCTCAAAGGGGTGGCTAGGATGGCTTGCCAGGGGCCTCTGTTCTGCCTGTCTTAGAAGGATTCTTTGGTTCTTCTCCACATGGTTCTTGAAGGTTCTGGTTGCGATGCCTGGCATGGCTAGGGGGCTCACCGGTCCACTTTCTTTCCGCTCAGCCTATGTAGCTAACTTGAATGTACTCATAGCAAGATGGTCTGAGGGGATGTATGGTAGCAAGAGAACTTCAGTGGGCATTCCCATTCAAAAGGGGGGAAGAGGGGAAAGTAGTAGTCACTAGTCCAAAGCTTCTGAAATCCAGCCAGGACAGCATTGCCAGTTTCCTAACTGGAGTCCAGTCATGCTTTCTTGGAGCTGTTTTCTATGGTTTTAAACTCCACCGCCCAGCTTATTGGCTCCACACTCTTAAGGATCCTTCCTTTTCCATAGGAAATGGGTTGGCAGCTGTTTAACTTTTTCAGCCTGCTTTCTGCCTGTACAAAGATTGGGACTCTATTTTACTTTTGAACTGACCCTCTTTCATTTAATATAGATTTCAGTGCTTCCACAAATATAATTGTCCTAAAAACACTGTGGCTTTCTCAGGAATATTATTTATGTTTATTAGACAAAAGCACATCACAAACCTCTTTGAAACAGGTGGCTCTTTGTCTTGGGCTGAGAGTCAGAGTGCTGTGGTAGAATACCCTTTAAAATCCATAAAAACGCTCTAGGAAAAAGGGTCTAAGACGTGAGCTTACAGCTTTGTTGTTTTTGTTTTTGTCTAGTGGAGAGAGTCCATGAGGAATATCACTAAATTGATTTCCAGTCTCAATAAAGGGTTCAAGCTGCCCTCCTGACTCCATCTTTAAACTGAGACGGTATTTTATTAGCAGGTGGTTGGATTGATCATTACCCTGAGGCCATTTCTTACTTTGTGAACCTTATTCTAGATGGGTCAACTTTCCTCTATCTAACCTAACTCTAGAGTCCCTCTAAAATCTGCTTAAAAAGTAAACACTTCGTCCGTAAGTTCATCTCTTTTCTCATATTTTGCCACATGTAGTTAGAAGCAGCCAGCGAGCACTTTCAGCCTTCTCCTTAGCCACATCAATGAGTTTCTTAGATAACC